CCATTGTTGTCCCCCTGCACCCACCCTGCATTGTTCTCACACCCGCCTGCCATCCCCACCCTGGAGGGACCCTTCCTCCCTCCCACTCCCCGCAGCAGCTCAGGCTTCTTTCTTACCTACTTCCATATATTCCGCTGACCTATTGGCATCAAAACATCTTCCCTTTTCTGAAAGCACATTACATAACCTATCGTTACAAGATCCCACAGCTTTTGCGAGCTGTAGGCACTCTGCCTTGAGAAGTCCAGTCCAAAGTCTCTTAAACAACAAGAAGATTCTTATTTCATTGCTATGAACTTTAGATCTGGCCCAAAATTAGGATTGATAGAAAGTGTTATTGCATTTTTCAGATAGGATATAAAAGGCTAGAGCAAAAATATGTTGTCACTATAGAACAGAAATGTGTAAAGAGACAGACACATAGGGATCGATATTATTACATCTTCACAATACACATGTACAGAAATGACTGACATGATTTACATGGGCTCCATTGTTACAATAAATAAAAGTTAAATCCTTTCTAAACTGTGCTTTTTCTCTTTCATGTATAAAAGTAAGTAGGGTTAAAAATGTACTTCTGAAAAAAACCAAGGCAGGCTCATATTTATGTAGTCAGGTGTTAATTGCAGACAGGATTTCTAAAATACCTTATTCATACATGTATATCTATGTCCATATATATAAAGTACAGAAACATTTTTATTCATTTACCAATTAAACAATGATTGAATGTTTTAAAAGATTTTTAAAAACACACAGAAATAGATGAAGTTAGCCGGCTGTCCTGTCATTATTTTAGCCACCTTGCTTTTCACTGCTCTCCATTTTGTACATCCACGAAGTTCTTTTGAAATAGTTATCTGTACTGTGCTGTATTTTTCATACAGGCACATAGGGATACAAACCCTAAATTTTTACATCCTTCCTATTTTTTTCCTGTGATACTTCACTTTCGCTGTGGTACTGCTTTCAGAATGATATTCTCTCTTTTCACAAAGTCACATTTATTATATAGAGTATGACACACAAACTGTTTTTCATGCTCAAAGTAAAAGTGAGTCTTTGCCAATCCTGGGAAAGAAGAGCAGCTATATAGGCTTAGAGTAGATTAAGTATAGGAACAAAAATAATTACCTCATTTTATTAATAAATAATTAATATACTTTGTATTTTAATACATGAAAAACGTATTAACTCTTACCGTGGCTTATGCGATGAAAGCAGTAGTATACAAAATCCACTCCCAGGAGTGTCAAATACCATGTCCATGGTGAGTCCCAAGGCAGTTCAAGGAGTCTGTAGTTATTCCATATGTAGATATAACTAATTAAGTCAACACTTCTGAATAAAACACTGAAATAGAGATCCAAAAAGGTTTATCATTAATTTTGTCAACTTTAATTACAGAACCTTTTTACTATATATTTATCAGATGGGAGTCTTTTTGTAACACATAAAACCAGTCTCTCCAAGTTCTGCAACCTCTGTCAAGTAATACTACTATTGACTTTAGTGGAACTTTTGCTTAAGGTCTACGAGGTTTTTAAAATCAACCCTCACCCACTCACCATTTGTGTTGTGGCATTAGGCATGCTCAAAGCCTGAAGCACACCTGTGCTCTGCAGGTGCTATGGTGTTCCCGTTTTCCCAAATCTGGAAGAAACCCAGCCTTGCTAACTCACAAGTCAGAAGTTACTGAAGTATAGCAGAAATTATGCTCAAACACTAACATATGACATTAAAATACCTTGGCTATTTCCAAGATAAGGAAGAGCATGGAAGGTGACAGGACTTTGGGGAGCAGTGATATATTCAGTCTGCTCAGCATATCACTTAACTTCACTTTAAAAGAGCATAAATGCAGCGGGAAGAGAAAAAGCCCACTGCCTTTGAAAAGAAGGGAAAGGGCAATTGGTAGAGAAAAATGGCAGGACTGCTAGAAAGGGGGAGAAAAAAATAATTAATTTGCAAAGGCAGGAAAGCCACGAGCCAGCAGCTTTTATTGCTGCCGAGTTCCTGGATTACAGAGAGCGAGCAGCTACCTGACCTAATGCAGGTCAGTGCTGAGACTAGGAGCAGGAGAAAGTAGCTCTGGGATGGGCAGGCCAGATTCAGCGGTAACTCTCCACAGCTGTTCAGGTTAATAGAAATTTGGGTTGCCACAGCCACATCCTCCCCTCGGTGCCCCACCACCTACCACTTCGCACCTCATTTCACAGAATTTCACCAATTCGGAGGCTGAGCTGTTTCTAAACAAATTGCATTGGTTTTGCTGGGTGAGTTTTTTTGACAGATTGGGAAGTGTTAACCCCAGCATGGGGGAGATGAGAGACCATGGGCACTGGGGTGGCCCAGCTGGCAACTGGCTTAGGTAGCTGTGAAGTGATGCCTCAGCTGCAGATTGGTGTATATTTAAACTGGCATTTTTGTAGAAGAGAGTTGTACACAGCATGATTTGCAGCAGCTTCCTCACACCCTCTCCTGCTATCCCCCTTTGCTGTGTTGCTGAAAATGTGTGTGGGACTGTGGTGAACTGAACTGGGGCAGCCTCTGAAAAGCAGCGAGCAGAAAAAAAGTAGGGAAAAGATACTAATTGTAGGAAAGTCACACATATCCTTTTTTATACATCAATGGATTAAATGCACCTCAGTTTAGTGCCCAAGAGTCAGAAATAAGATTATCATTAGCACCACCAGCTACACACAGAAAAAACTGATCTACTTCTCAGACATTTTACTGTTGGTCTTTTTTCGGTGGGGGGAGGAATTATCGGAACACCACCTTTGCACAAAGTTGTGCAAGATTTCAGAAATCTATAAATCATATTCACAGTTGGAGGAAGTCTGAGAGATTCAAATTCAGGGAAGTTCAAATGGAGATTGGAAATGGCGTTAACTGCAAGACGTTACTTGAATAGACGGGGTAACAAACTGCACATAGGTGTCACAGCCTTGCAAAACTTCAGCTAAAAGACTGCCACAGACCAATATCTCTCTCTCAGTTTAGTCTCACCTGGAGCCTCACCTTATATTGAAATCAGCTAAAAGAATCTCCATGCATCTCTCTGTCCATATCTGCTCATTCTTGTCTCAGTGCTACTTCTCAACGGTACTTCTTCGCAAACCCTGCGGTTTTTTTGTTTCCTTTTTTCAGTTAGATTAATTTTTATATAGTTTACAGCATGGCCCCAAAGATACTGAATCTGCAAAACTAAGAAAGGACATATACTTTTTCTCCTCTAAAGCCTTATTTCACAAGCCTGGAAAACATCCCTGAAAGCAGTCTGGCCACACCCTGTCCTTTCAGGTAGCAGCACTGAAACACAAGGGAACTTCAGCAAACATGGGTGTTTCAGCTTGCGAACCATCCCCCATGCTTTTATACTTCTGGCATTAGCACCTCTTCCCATAATGGTGTTTTCAATAAGGCTAGAAGGAAACAGCTTGAGCTTCTGTGCTGCTAGTTTCTCTATTAATGAGTAACAAAGTCAACTGAAAATCCCAAGCTCCCAATACTAGCCTGCAAGCAGAACAGTATCGCATCCACCATTTTATCCTGAGAAGCTGAAGCATTGCAAGTTGTTGTTGCTCGGGAAGAAGAGAACCAGTATCTTTTCCACAGCCAGTTGCCACAACTTTCCTGCAACTCGTTCCTACCTTTACTACAATCATCCCAGTTTTTCTCTTGGACAAAATGAAAACACAACAAAACCCCTGAAGTTTCATTTCAGCAGCTGGCAGATGAAGATTTTCTCTTGACTAGCAATGACAGGTGTATCTACCACTTCAAAATAAGCTTAGCTATGCCCAGAAGTTGGACGATACACACCTGGAACATGTTTAATTTTCATAAGAGCTGTGTTCTATAAATATTTTTAAAGAAGATTATATGTGTCCAACCAGATTTTTGCAATTCACCTCATGAGGCATCTGCAAAGTTCAGTATAAATTCTCAATCCCTTTCACAACAGGTCAGAAGGGAGCTGATATTATTTAAACAAAAGAAATGGGCATTTCTTAACATCTTTTCAATGACCAGGAAATTTAAAACACCTCTTGCAACACAGAGTATCAGTTATTATTAGGTACTGCTTTCTTACTTTATTCTTTTGCTTTTATTAACATACAATGCTTTTGCAGTACATCCAAAGATATGTGAACTGGTACATTTCCTCTATTTTTGATCAGCTTTTGGTATTTCACCCTCGAGTCCTTTTTTTTTTTTTTCCACAGGCTGAGGCCAAGGTGTAAAACTTGAGCTAACCCTGCAACACATTTTTTATATATGTAATTTGCTGTACATTCTTTCCTTCATGCTTGAATCACAACTCTACAGCACATAACACTAGCTGATTACTGTAATTAATTTAGAGTAATCCATCATATCAGCATGCAATGCTGGAGAAAGAAGAGTTGCTTAGCTAAGTATTTTTAAAAAATTTACAGTGTGATAGATAGGAAAGTCCAGAGCTTGCATTCAATTACGATTCTGAAAGTTCACTTGGAGTTTTAAAAGTTTATGTTGCCCCTTTTTTTTCTTCCTCAAGTTCCATTTTCACTTCTTGAAAATACTGAAGAGAACTTAAGAAAACTTTTTCCTCATTTAAATGTTAGGTTTTAACCATAAATATGACAGAAGCTGATAGGTAAGACTTCTGTCATCTAGTCCAATCCTCTGCATAAGAAGGAATAAATCCTAGAACAGACAGATTGTATAGAAAACCTTATTATATACATTGCATAGATTTATCTTCTTGGATTTTGAACATTTCTGCTGAAAATTTTCTTATTATGTGCAAAGCATGCACTTAGGCAACTCAAAGTTCTGACTTTGAGAGAGCGTTCTTGTCTCCTTGTTTCTAAAGTTCATACATACTTTACTCAAAGGTGATAATATTTGTTTTAATAAACCATTTCCCCCTTTCTTCTTCCACTGGGTCAGATTATCACTTCCTCTAATTAAAAAAGTCCACAAAGGAAATTCTGGGAGATGAACGCTCAATGTGGAAATTAAGACCTACTTATGGTAGATCCAAATGGGACAATGAAGGAGGGAAAAGGTGGAGGAATGTCAATTGGAAGAAAAGACAGCTTCCCATTTCAAAGAATACAAGCTCCCATTTTGCTTCCTCCAGCTCACAGATCAGCCTTAGAGCCTGAAACCAAAGTTTTAGGAGACCTCCTCCATGGTGCCCAGGACAGTCACCAGAAGGGAAAACAGTCAGAGACAGTAGCTGTTGTCTCTCTTCCGAGCATGGAGGAAGATCTGTGTATCAAAAGTGAAGACCCCAAGAAAACCGCCTCACCTCTCACTGCTATTGCAGTCACCACCTCACATCACAGTGGGAACCGACCTGGGGCCCCTGAGCTAAAAACACAACTCTACAGCTGGACCTACAAAAGCTCGGCTCTCAAGGGCTCTAACAGACTTGCATCCTTGGAGGTCAGACACAGAGGGAAACATGTTAAGACACCCTGGTCATAGGGTTATATTATCATTAATAATAGTGAGATATTACTTATACAGCTTCCCTGGGTTAAATAAATTCAGTTTTCCTAGCCTGATTCAAACTACATGAACTTAAGGTTTCAAAATGTTGAACAAAGGCAGTTTCTCCTCAATAATTTGAAATTATTCAGACCATATATGTAACAGCAGGATACATGAATAATTAAATGCTCTGTAAGCCTCTGTTTCAAAGTGGAAAGCATAAGGATTTCCATTTCCAAGGATACTCCTAAAGCTTTCTTTTCCAGATGAAAAACTGGCTCCAGTCACAATTGAAATAAACATTTTGATAACATGATTTCAGTAAAGAGGAGAAGGGGGGGAGGAGGTAGAGGAGCCTTGAGAAAAGGTCCATTTGCAAAACAAAGCAAACCTCCTGCAACTGAAATCCCCTTTTATTTCCTGTACAGGTGCCAGGTCTTGAATAGACACCCAATTTATTACCTTGTCAGCTGACTTATTAGGGTTGACACAAATCGAGCTGAAATATGCCTGACATACTGCAGTCAATGCTTTTTTCACGCTTTAGCACAAAGCCAAACTTTCCACAAGGTGGAGGAAAAGGGAGAGGGAGCTGTGGGAGTTCTATTCCCTGTTTTCTATCATCAAGATGAATATGATCCTCTCCCATTCTTAATATGCAAAACCAGTCATGAAATAACCCAAGGCTAAAAAATAATTCACCAAAATGATACAGCTGGGAAATGATTATCAGGCTCTGGAAAGCCCTTGATTACAGGAAATAGCACCTACATTTTGAGAAAATGTTCCCACCAGACACAAAAGCTGAATCAAAGCCTCTCCTCTTCCTCAGTATGGCTTTCTTCTCTAGCATTTTAAGTTTA